CCTAGTGTTCTTTTCTCCTTCCTTATTACAAAAACAGCAGCTCTCTCAATTCCGTGATTGACAGTTTGAGCACTTAGTCAATGCAAGCTCTGATTACGTGATAGTGTCGATTCATATAACGTTTTCGATTCCAGCGTCAGACATGGAGAACTTTTCGAGTCTTTCATGCTCAGAACTTGGTCTGGCTCCTCTAGGAATGGAAACATTTCCGGTTAGTTGCATCACATTTTCGTCTATCGTAACTTGCTCTATAATACATTAACCAGACCCGCAAATACATCTCCGATGTAGAGGCTTGGTGCGGGTGCAGAGGCACGTACATGTTTGATCTGAACGTCTAAACACGAGTGCCAGGACAGGCCCGGGGGGGGGGCACAAGGGCTATTTAGCTGTTGACAATTGCGGTCTATGGCGGAATTGCACAATGTCCTGTTGGCCACGCCACCAGCAAAGGGTGGTTTAGGGAAAAAGGGATAGGTTTCTCTTCGCGTGACGAGGAAGGTGAAGGGCGACCGAACTCTATGAATCACGTCTGTGCAGCTCATTGAGAGGGATATCAGTTAACCCCTACCTGACTAAACCTAGATTTAGTTTTTTTTAGTGGTGAAAGTTTAGATCCGAGAGAAAAGGATAACATTTGCACATTCAGGGTTATCAAGAATTTTTGAAATCCGCGCACGTAATTTGCCGATGGAATTCCATGGCACCATAGTGGGTTTCTCTGTGCACCGCAGGTAATCTAGAAGGCAAGTGGTTGCGATCTCCACAAGTACATCAGGATTTCCCTAAGCCTTCACTACAATTTGGAAGCAAACGACACCCATTGAGTTGTCTTCAGAATTCTGTACCCCTACTGCTCTTCGTCGCCCATAGTAAAGGTTTGTGTAGGTACTTGTGAATCCCTCTCGATCACCGCCAAATTCCCAACTTAATCGATCTGAGAATGAGTATAGATGAGGAATTGATTGTACGCAAAATTTATACCACGCGTGAATGCATGTGGATATATTTGACTGAAACTAAGGCCCTTTTCAAGTAACCAGTCAATATGGGAAAACGAGAGGCCATACGCGCCACTCCTTTCAGAAATTACTTGTGGCTAGCTTTATCCACTATAAGACAACCACTTGTTGTTACATACAACAAAATATTGGTATTGAAATGTCTACCAAACTGGTTTTGTATTAGACTACACATAAAAGCAATCATTTTATTACAGATGGCGGCCCCCGTAGCGCAGGATCAGCAATTCTACATACCAGCACAACAACTTGCCCCTCCAGTAAACAATATCACCCTCAGTGGGATAATGCACAACTATTTAGTTTGAAACAAAATATTTTGTAGTTGTGCATTTGGATGCATTTTAAAGACACATCTCTGGATTTGATGGGATTCAGCCTTTTGAGTACATAAGGCACTACCGTCGCTTGTGCAGATTTCAGTCGTTCATTCCTGAGTGTGTAAAGATGAGCCAAGAAATTTAAGAAATTGCTTCTCTTTCTTCAATTGTTTCTACAGCTTTTCGTTGTCTACTTGTCGGAAGAGTAAATGACATTTTATGCTCGTTCCAGCTGTTTTTGCCTACTTGTGAAAAGAGTTGACAATGTATCCATGTTTTTCATCTCATTAATTCATGTGTTTGCCAATGCTCTATGCTTCAATTTGGAATCACTATTTGTTGTACATGTGCACTGCAACAGAAAATCAAAGGATCTTATAGCAAACTTCTCCCTCACTATTCTCAAACAAAAGCCACAAGAAAGAAGACTCTCTCATGGCTGTCGAACTTGGAAGGACACTATAACAGTGTTCGTCAGTCGATCAAGGAACCGTGAAATTGCGGAAAAATTGCCCGTGAGATCTTCAACGAAAATACGATTTCTATTTCTACTTGCTCTACAAGTGTAAATATTTAAAAGCCAAAACAACGGCTTCGTGTTTTAACACAATACGACTGATGTACGTATCGAATCCGACGCAGGGATCGCGAAAGATTTAATCTCATATGGGATACTATATTTATTTATTTATTTATTATTATTTATCACATATTTATACCAAACCGCCTGGACGTGAGCGCCGCTTTTGCGCTAGAGTATTGGAAGGAAAGACCAATCCGCAACTATTATGCCATCCCTTTCACAGTTTCTTGTTTAACTTCCTACCACGTCTAATGTGCATAATGAAGAAAGGCAATATCCTCAATATGAGCTGCGTTTGGAGCCCAGCACCGGACAAGTTCAGTGTGATCAAACCTAAGGTTAAGTAGTAAAAATCTTTACAACAAAGGTCGTGCTCATCCCTCGAGGCTAGGATGTGTGGATGTGTGGGCAGCAAAAACACTCGTTGTCGTTGAGATGTGAATGCAATAAAGCAGAAGGCCAGAAAGAGTTTCTAGTGAAGGCACTCCAAGAACCAAGTGGAAGCATCCCCGTCGCCAGCATTTGTGAAAGACGTCCGTGGGCACTTTGAACGCGTAGCAGCCCTTTCGATTTTTCGAATTTTTTTTACCAAAACAAAAGCAATATTTCTGTTCTTTTCATTCTTATCGTGGATAATGAGTCTCAAGCCAGTGATTTATGGCTGAAATAGAATCATGATTTTTCCGTGAAGGATTCCTTTAAGAGAATATCGCTTGCAGCGCCAAAAATCCAAGCAGTCGAGAGGGGGAAAATTAAAACGATCGACCTCCATATTGCAATAACCTGATATAATGTAGGGGTTCGAATGAGCAATCATATATAACGGAAAGGAGTGGGCGGGCACGCGATCACCACTTTAAGGTTAAACGTACAGCATACGACCTGATTATCGTATCGAATCCGACAGGGATTGCAAAGATTTACCTCATATGGGATACAATTTTTTATTTATTTTATTTATTTATTGTTATTTTTTATATTATTTTTTTTATTTATTTATTTATTTATTTTTAGTTATTTATTTATACAATCGCGCCGGAGTGAACCCTCTTTAGCCAGAGTATTGAGGAAAGACACTCGAATATTATGCCATCCCTTTCACAGTTTTTCGTTTAACTTCCTACCGCGTCTAATATGCATATTGAAGAAAAGGCAATATCCTCAATATGAGCTGCGTTTGGAGCCCAGCACAGGACAAGTTCAGGTGGATCAAACCTAAGGTTAAGTAGTAAAAATCTTACAACAAAGGTCGTGCTCATCCCTCGAGGCTAGGATGTGTGGATGTGTGCAGCAAAAACACTCGTTGTCGTTGAGATGTGAATGCAATAAAGCAGAAGGCCAGAAAGAGTTTCTAGTGAAGGCACTCCAAGAACCAAGTGGAAGCATCCCGTCGCCAGCATTTGTGAAAGACGTCCGTGGGCACTTTGAACGCGTAGCAGCCCTTTCGATTTTTCGAATTTTTTTTACCAAAACAAAAGCAATATTTCTGTTCTTTTCATTCTTATCGTGGATAATGAGTCTCAAGCCAGTGATTTATGGCTGAATATGGAATCATGATTTTTCCGTGAAAGATTCCTTCAAGAGAATATCGCTTGCAGCGCGCCAAAAATCCCAAGCAGTCGAGAGGAGGGAAAATTAAAACGATCGACCTCCATATTGCAATAACCTGATATAATGTAGGGGTTCGAATGAGCAATCATATATAACGGAAAGGAGTGGGCGGGCACGCGATCACCACTTTAAGGCAAACCCCGGAATTGAACTGGTGTTATGAGCGCTTCGTAGTGATAGCTTAGCTGCGGAACGACCTGAAAGTGGAAAGGAAAGCAAGAGAAATCTTGGGAACGCTGAAATTAAGGCCTTAACCTTCAATAAGGTCGGATGTGGTACGATGGCGAGACAGGGCGATCAAAAGACAAAATACGCGAGAGAGCACGCTGATCTCTACATCAATGCACGCTGATCTCACCATCTCTCGCGGTGGGTGGGAAGCGTTGGAACGGGGGTCGATGGTTGCAGGCCCGTAAGGATTAGCGCCCTAACCGCGCAATTTTGCGACGAAGCTGGAGTGATCTAGGTAGGATAACCTGTACAATTCCCTCAACCAGGAAAGGCATTCAACTTCCCATGGAACTTTGAGATGAGACCCAGATATATCGATAGAGCTTCAAACGCTGATTACAAATATGAAAACTAAAACTGCAAAATGAACCTTGCCAAGGAAGTTGTGAGCAGTCAAAGTTGGCTGGAAGTAAAGCATCACACTAGCCTCCGGGCTTTCATAGTCACCGCGGAGCAGTGGTGGTGCCCTCGCTAATTCACCCTGGAGGTGAGAGCACTACCACTACTCCACGACGACTTTGAAAGCCCAAAGGCTAGTGTAATGCTTTACCTCCAGCCAACTTTGACTGCTCACAACTTCCTTGGCAGGCTCATTTTGCAGTTTTAGTTTCCATATTTGTAATCAGCATTTGAAGCTCTATCGATATATCTGGGTCTCATCTCAAAGTTCCATGGGAAGTTGAATGCCTTTCCTGGTAAGGGTGTCCCTTCCTTGGCTAATGCTATACGAGGTTTTGCGCTTTAAAAGAATGGTCGCGCATTGGGGCTTGCTAAGATTGAAGCAACTTGAACTGAACTTTCCTCGCCTTGCTTTTCACTGGCTACTCTAGTTCTCGCCATTCATATGTAGAGCGCGCAGTAATGGTGACAGGAATTAAAAATTCAAAAATTTACAACATGAATCTAGATTTATATTGCATGCATTGAAATTGCTGGAGGGAATAACATTACAGGAACAAGAAATTGTGTCATATTATTCTGATCGGTAATCGATACCACGAATTGAGGTTCAGGAGTCGACGTACGGCAGCTTCTCGACAGAGAGGTGTATATCCGTGGTCCGCTGCAAATTCAACATAAGACGGTAAGGCATACATCTATATTCGCAAATTACCTATAAGACAGAGGCCAGAGATTGATCCGGGCACTCGGAGGCTGTATTGCTCTGCTCGAATAAAGGTCGATTAGCAAAGCAAGATCCATTCGTTGGAAAAATTATACAGATCTATTTTCCTTCAACTCCGATCCGGATTACAGATGGATGACTATGGAAGGGCAGAAGCCTTCCTTTTCTAATAAGAACTGTTCGCTGACGGTGGAGCTGGTTAGGCAGTTCAAACTCGAAAAACGCGGGCTCAAAGTAAAATAAAGAAGGTTTGCTCTGTGGTACCTTTCCAATCGACGATACCCAGCACGTTCCTAAGGGGAGACACTGGTCAGTACCAATTCAACCGTCCGTTGGATCCAAGTCCAAGAGGGGTGGGAGCAGGGTCAACCGTCCGTTCGAACTGTTCGAACGAAGGGGTCGCATTTTGGTCGGAAGGGGGTCGCAATTTCGAGGACTGCCAGCCACAGGCGCGTGCGTGGCGTATCCGAGGGCAAGATTGCTTGTGCAGACCGCATTAGATTCGATTAATTATGCACAGAGAGACAGTTTTAGGCAAATTACGGTGTTTTCCTTGAGGAATAAAGAACAGTTGAATGCATCCCTATGAAAGGTTTGACTTCTCGGGGCTGAAATTAAAGTTCTTCGGGACCTAATTTTCTGAGGACGATTCTTCCAGACAACGGTAAAACACATAAGAAAGCAGAAATCTCGTAGTCTTCAAAAATGTCTTCGCCCCTCCCCAACAAGTTCTTTGAAGGAAGTTATTATTGCTGAAAGCTCAAAAACTCGCATGTGCTGCTCAAAAACCTATGGGAACAAAATGTTCGAACGTGTGATTTTCTCGGAAAAATGGATTTTGAAAAACGGTTTGGTGCTTGTCAGAAAGAGCAAATCCTGTACTTTCACCCCATGAAAAGTGCATCACAGAAATGAAAATGAAGTGAGTTATGCCCGCTGAAAGCCCAAAAACTCGCTTTTTCAAAAAAATGTTCGAACGGGACAATTTTTTGAAAAAGAGGACAATCGTCAAACTTTTTATACTATTTTGTTAGAGAAATATTTGAAGTTTCTGAAACTTTTTACAGATTTCCAAAATGTCGCATACGAAAGATTTTATGGGCCTTCAAAGTTGAAGGTGCGCCTTCTTAGAATTTTGGGTTTTCCACTTCTAACAGAAGTACTTTCCGGAGAGTTAGGCAATCCTTGTAGTTTTCTGGAAGCGCACCTCAGGCACAATCAAAATCTACCTCAACAAGTCAAAAAAATACGTCCCAAGAAAGTTATTCCCCTCTAAAATTTTTTCTTCGCCGCGTCCCGTTCTTCCAGCGCCCGGGTGATACCTGCCGCGCTCCAAGGCCGACGCGACGACGCGCAGACGCTTTCTGGCGCAACGGATTCATGTCTAGCACTCTTATTAACAAAAACAGGGGGTCGCAACTGGACCCCCTCGAGAGCTAGGGGGTCGCAAAAATCCCGAAAATGTTCGAACGTGACGGTTGACCCTGGTGGGAGTCGTCTTTTTGCGAGTTAGACCTATGGGAACAGTAATGGCGATGATGATTTGTATATTGGCTCTACCGATCAGGTTTGTAGGCTGGGGATTTTGCACCCTCCCGCCTCGACGGGCAATTTGAGGGAACGTGGGCGAGTTGGGCTGTGCGCGACTGGTCTTCAGATGGCGATGGCAGATGGCTGATGAGATGCGCGCGAATGTTAACTCTGAGGGGGGTCGTATTAAACTTCTAGGAGGGGAGGGGGGTCGTAGGAATTTTCGAATTGGTCCCGTGACGGTTGCCCACCTGGTCAGTAGTGAGGTCTATGGGGCTCTACGGCAGCGAATGGTGGGAAGAAAGATAATATAGACGCTTTCGCTGCGCCAAAATGAGGATGCTATGCAGAACTGCTGGAAGGGCTGACATTAAAGTGCGCTCGAAAATTGCTTCCGCAACTGCCAGATCAATTTGAGGCCCCCAAATATTAAGTGTAGTGTATGAGCAGAAGTACGTATGGAGGAATACCTTTTCTGGTATCTCGAGTGGAGCCTTGGTCCCTTTCTTCATATATGGTCTGAAGAGGTCTTCGCGATCCCGATACTGTAAAACAAACTTAAAGCTACAAAAGTTATGACATTAGGTCTTCCAAAAATTCCGTCGTTTTTTGACACCCCTTTGAGAGCATTATTTTGTTTTGATTTCTCGCAATCAGCCAGTTTCACAAACCCTTTCGAAGAGCTTTTCCTGCTCTATCCGATCGTATGGTAGGCTTTACTTGAATCCTTTTGTTATTTCTCAAATGCCTTAAATATGGCGTTCTCGAAGAGCAGGCGTGCATGATTTTCTTGTTCTGCTAAAATAGGCCTCGAAGGAACAGAAGCAGCTCAAGATATTAAGGATGCAATCGGCTCATACTCGCAACAAAGGTGCTGTGGAGCATTTCTTCAAAACGTCCTGCAACGAGAGCCTTGAAGGTTATGAGAATTGTAGCCAGAAAGCGAACGTTGCCAATGATCACCTAAAAGTTCTGATTGAAGTACGTGTAAAGAACCATTGAGCAGCCTCCTCTCGTATTGAATCAAGTCAACTTGTAATTTCCTATTGCACGGGATGAGCTAGAAGTGTAAAAAATGCACTAAAAGCGTGCCGTGACAAATCACCACTTTAAAGGCAAGATTCAGGCTTAAATTGATGAGGTAATTCTACTCAAATGTGATGTAGGGGTGGGAGGTGGACCGCCAGTGGAGAAAAAAAAAAAAAATCGTGAAATACACAGGAAATACGAGCCTTTTGCTCTACGCTGCGGAGAATTT